TCTCTCTCACTCACTCACTCACTCTCAAAATTATGTTTTATGGGAAGTATATATTTTATAACAACTTATAACTAAAATAATATTTTGCGGTTTCACTATTTTTTATGTATTTATAGAAAATAGGAAATTATAATTATATGAAATTAATAATTTGATAAATAAGTACAAAGTCTACAGTAATGTGCTAAAACTATATTGTACTGTACAATAATAGTTCTGTATATTATAGATTAAAGCACTGATAAAATTGTCACAAAATTAAAAGTACAATTAAATAAACAACAGATATATTACAAGTATTGATGATATTATTGATAAATTGCGTAAATACTGATGAGTTCACATAAACTCGTTTTATTATTCACATCAAGTTAATTAACTAGTAAAAATAATAAAATTAAATGGTGTATAAATATTGCTCATTAACTGATTCATTAATTAAGCAATGTAATATTATAAGAATTATGTTGAATAAATTAAACCATGTGGGACATTAATTAGGATCGTAATTAATAAAAGTATAGTTGAGTTTTAAAATAAGATATTAAATTATAATTTTAGCACCAATGTTAATTGTATTTGTATGGGTTAAGTAAGATATTAAAACTAAAATTTGACTTGTAACTAGAAATTAAATTTCAAGTAAAAGTTTTATTTAATACAAATAAAAACAGAAACAATTATTTATATATTTTCATAATAAAAATTTTATTGCAATAACTTATAAACACATTGAAATGAGCTTACTGAATGTTGTTAAATAAATTCAAAACAAACGAGTTCATTCTAGTATTAATAATCTATGTTTAGCTTTTTTGATTACATTTACATGAATTTTTTAAATGTTTTTAGTTAGACATTAATGCAATCACTTGATCATTAAACCAAAATAACTTGCTTTGAGTTTCAGTAAAACCTTGAATTTGCTGCACAATTATACCAAACATTTAATTTCTATTTTAATGTTATTATTATTATACATAGAATTGAAATAGAAATTACTTCTAGTTTATTATTGTTTATAAATGTGTATTTGTTTAAATCAAACCACTAATAATATAATTTTATTTTAAAATCCTTATAACTTCAAAGTATATTATGTAATATATTTATTTATCTGATTTTTGAATAACTTTTATATTAGTCTACTTAATTTATTTACATTATTTAATTTAAATAAACCTAAATTTGTCAAATGAGAGCTATTCATCTTATCATTCAAATGAAATATAATATATTTTGTGAAATTATTACAAATATTAAATTTAAACAAGATAGCAAACAATAAATGTTCAGTCAACAAAGTTTTAAAAAGTCTATTTCATTTGAATTAAATTAAAAGTTAAATTACAACTCCCATATAAATATTAATTATATACTTCATTATATTGTGATTAATTAAATTGTGTTAATATTCACTTGAATTTGTTTAATTAAGACTGATTAAACATATAAAACTACAGCTAAATGTTATTATAAATTGATATAACTGATTATGCGTATATTGTGAAAATTAAGCGCTCAGTTTAATTGGTCTAAATTTTGTTGAATTTTAAAAAAGTTTTTTAGATAATGTTTGTGTAAAAATGGTTAATTGGTGCGAAATTTGGACATTTATTAAGAGCCTTAAAGTAGAGCCCTATCTATTCATTCATATGTTTGCCGGTTCTGTGGCTACAGTGACCACTGGTTTACTACTTCAGGACAAGATATGTGTCAATATCTATGAACAACCCGACGATTTTTGCATGAATTTTAATTCAATCAATCCATCGGACGATCCGTACAAATATAAAGACAAAGTGTTAGCGTTGTCCACACAATTTGGTTTCTATATGTAATCATATAAATGACACATAAATTAATAATTCACTCAATTTGTATAATTACTACAAAATGTTATCTGAATATATAGTACACTGTTGGGAACGATTCCATCAGTGGTTTGGTCCCTATTTATCGGTGCATTTACTGACAAATTCCTGAGCGGACGCAAAATTGTAATGTGTTTATCGAGTCTGTCAGCGATTCTCACATCACTTATACACATATTAAATGCATATTATTTCTATTTAAGTAAGGTATTATACAGTAAATTATAATTGTTAATAGGCTAAAATTTATACAAATTTATGTGTTACAAATATGCAAATACCTTAAAATTAACACCAAATTTGTAACATTAGGTCCATATTATCTACTCTTGACTTCATTGCCGGCTCTGTTCACTGGCGGTGGCTTTGGCTCAATAATGGCAGTCTATGTAAGACATCAATTAATTTTTCTGATAAATATTAGTTTTGTTGATTTATTAAATATTATTTCAAATATTATTAGTCTTACGCTTCAGTTCATACAAGTGAAAAGTTTCGTTCAATACGTTTCGCGATCATTGAATTCAGCTTTTTCTTAGGTATTCATCAGAAATATTAAAAATAATTATATAATTTTATACTGATATTAATTATGTAGGCATTCCTTTGGGAACATACGTTGGTGGACAGGTATTACAAAATACACCGGACAGTAGTGGTGGACAATTACACAATTATATTACAGTCATAGCAATAAGTCTTTCGCTTCAAATTATTTCCATAATATTGTTATTGGTTTTAATTAACGAAAAGCCAAACAGTGGTGATGAGAGACAAATACTGGTAGACAATGAAGTACTCGACGCCAATTCAAACAAAACAACCACATCTGAAGTGGTTATACAACCAGAATCATCACCTTCAGAGGAATTTCATAAATGGTAAGCAAGATATAGTAGTATCTAGACATTTATAATATACTTCTATAACTTATTAAGGTTTAATTGCACAATGTAATTTGTATTATATCTGAAAAGGTATTATCCGTTTAAATTGCTGTTTGATATCCAAAATGTAAAGGATGTCTGGAAATGCTGTTTCCAAAAGCGTGTCAACTCTGGTCGCCTTCAGATTTGGTTAATGTTTATGACAATGTGTGTAATAGTAATGTCGTTTCAGGGCACCAGTAAGATACAGTTCCAGTTCGTAGAGAAGCTGTACCTGTGGTCTCCCACCTACTACTCCAATATCAAGTCTATCAGCTCTATAGTGAACAGTGTCTTAATGACAATATCAATGCCATTGATTGTCACAAAACTCAGACTATTAGACATACAAGTTGCTATTTTGGGTCTCGTGTCACACATATCAAAACATATAGTGGTTGGATCCTATCAGCAACCGATTGGCTACTATATCTCTGTTGCCATTGGTTTGTTGCCACTGATTGTCTCATATATTAATACAATTAAAACAAATAATTAAATTGATTATTTAGGTTCGGTTTCGGGTATGGTTTCGGTGGCCATTAGGTCTAAAATGTCAAAACTCGTCAAAAAAGAGGAATTGGGAAAAGTATTCAGTTTGTTATCAACACTTGAATCCGTGTCCCCATTACTGGCATCCCTGGTCTTTACGTTCATATTTGAGTGGAGTTTAGACTTCTTTCCCGGTCTTACGTATGAAATAAGCGCTGCCCTAATGATTGTGCCGTTGATTGCTATGGTTTGGATTGATGTGACCATTGACTCCAAGTTATTAGTTACATAAATTCATTATATATTTATTTAGCAACAAGTTTAGCATTATTTATTGAGAATGTAAAGTTGTTAATTCATAAATTTTATTTAAAATATTATATAATAAAAGTTTGATAACAAGTTTATTTAAATAACAGTGCACTACTTTTATTAAAATACTGTACAATCAAAACCTATTCAAGTTATTTTTTAATTAATTACTCAATGTTTAACTTTTTTGATTACGTTTTTATGTTATTTTGAATGTTTTAGACATAAGTTAGACATTAATGATATCAATTGAACACTTAATGAAAATGAATTAATTTATGTTTCTGAGAAGCCTTGAATTGACTTCATTAATAATCATTTAACATGAACCAAACATTTATTGTCTATTTTATGATTGTACTAAGCATTGACTTAAAATAGAAATTACTTTGAGATTATATCAAAACAATTATAAATTTTAATACAATTGTATACTAATTGTGTAGAAATTCCTATAACTTCAAGTGTTTTGGGTAAAATGTGTACTAAAACATATGATCATGAGTTTATTATTTATTATTTCGAAATAACCTTACTGTTAGTTTATGTATAAATATTATATCTATAATTTTCTGTGCTAAATAAATCTAATTTTGTCAAATGAGAGCTAAACGTCTTATCATTCAAATAAAATATAACATTTTTTGTTATATTATTACGAAAAATAAGTTCCGAAACATAGTTATGAACTAATCTAAACAACAAATGTTAAACAAATAGTTTTTAAAAGTAACTTTAATTGAAATATATAATAGTTAATTGTTACATGGATACAAATATATAATCATTAACTAATTTCCATTATAATTCAATTGTCTGCTTAATTATGTTTATGCAAAATATTGCAAAACAATAATCACATGAATTTATTTTTTATTTAAATCTACAACTACAGCTAAATGTTATTATAAAATACTTTTATATTTGTGATGATAAACGCTCAATTTAAGTAAAAACCTGGATTTAGTTAAATTATATAAAATTTCTGAAAAATGGTTAATTGGTGCGAAATTTGGACATTTATTAAGAGCCTTAGAGTAGAGCCCTATTTATTCATTCATATGTTTGCCGGTTCTGTGGCTACAGTGACCACTGGTTTACTACTTCAGGACAAGATATGTGTCAATATTTACGGGCAATCCAATGATTTTTGTATGCATTTTGATTCAATCAAACCATCGGAGGATCCAAACAAATATAAAGATAAAGTGTTAGCCCTCTCCACTCAATTTGGTCTTTACGGGTAATCATATAAATGACACACCAATTAATATATAAATTTTTAAAATGTTATCTGAATACAAATATATAGTACACTGTTGGGAACAATTCCATCAGTGATTTGGTCCCTATTTATCGGTGCATTTACTGACAAATTCCTGAACGGACGCAAAATTGTGATGTTTTTGTCCAGTATATCGGGAATTTCAACATCACTTATCCATATATTAAATGCATATTATTTTCATGCAAGTAATGCAATTCACTATTTTCATTAAATATGATATAAGTTTAGTAATGTATTGTTACTAATTATATCAAACAAACTAAAATAAATATTTGTTTATTGTTTATCTATTCTAAAAGTTTAAAGTTTAGGAACAATTATTATTTAAGAAACATCCTGATCATTATTAAAAAATTGACTATTTATTACAATTTTATGTCAGGTCCTTATTATCTACTGTTGACTTCAGTACCGGCTCTGTTCACTGGCGGTGGTTTTGGCTCAATAATGGCAGTCTATGTAAGACATCAATTGGTTTACTAAATAAATATCACTTTAATTTATACTTCAGTCTTACGCTTCAGTTCATACCAATGAAAAGTTTCGTTCAATACGTTTTGCAATCATTGAATTCAGCTTTTTCTTAGGTATTCATCAGAAGTATTGAAAAATAGGCATTTTGTATATTTATATAATCTAATAAATTGTGTAGGAATTCCTTTGGGGACATTCGTTGGTGGACAGGTATTACAGAATACACCGGACAGTAGTGGCGGACAATTACACAATTATATTACAATTATTTCTATGAGTCTTTCGCTTCAATTCATTGCATTGATACTGTTATTAGTGTTGATTAATGAAAAGCCAGACCAACTAAACAGTGATGAAGACAGACAAACACTGGTAGACAACGAGGAACTCGACACCAATTCCAACAAGAATACCGCTCCAGAAGTAGTCATACAACCAGAGCCATATCCATCAGAGGTCTCTCCTAAATGGTAAGCAAGGCATCTAAAGTATTAGATAATTACTATTCATTGAATTACTAAAGTTTTTATTACACGCGAAAAGGTATTATCCGTTAAAACTGTTGTTTGATGTCCAGAATGTTAAGGATGTCTGGAAGTGTTGTTTCCAAAAGCGACCTAATTCTGGACGAATCCAGATATGGCTGATGTTTATGACAATGAGTGTAATGATTATGTCATTCATGGGCGCCGGTAAGACACAGTTCCAGTTCTCCGAGAAGGTGTACCTGTGGTCCGCCACCTACTACTCCAACGTACACTCCATCAGCTCTATAGTGAACAGTGTCTTAATGACAATATCAGTGCCACTGTTTGTGGTTAAACTGAGACTAATAGACACACAAATTGTTATTCTGGGTCTCGTGTCGTTTATTATGAGCCAAATAGTGGTCGGCTCTTATCAACACCCGATTGGTTACTATATCCATGTTGTCATTGGTTTGTTGCCATAACTTTATATTGTTTTATTTTATCTATTTTACTAATACTAGTGTTAGTCACTTAAACTTAACCTTCAAATGTGCAAAACACATGATTATTAGGTAATGAAAGGAGTTTTATAATAATAGAGTAAACATTTACATAAGAAAATAACATTTTTATGTGAGATATAAAAAGTAACGAGAGTTTAGTCTTTTCTAATGAGCCTTTAGTTTGGTTTAGTGTCATAGTAATGTCCAGTAGATTCACTATACGTGACTACAATTTAAATTATTTAGCTTATTTTTTACACCAGGTTTAAGTGAAAACAAAGTAAAACCCTTAACATTTAATAAACATATAAAACACCTTAAATTGCTATAAATCTTATCATATGAGTCATCAGTTTATCTAATATAACATTATTAAAACAAATATTAAGACAGCATATAACAAATATATCAATAATAAAAGTATTAAAAGATTAAATTGATTATTTAGGTTCGGTGTCGGGTATGGTTTCAGTGGCCATTAGGTCTAAAATGTCAAAACTCGTCAAAAAAGAGGAATTGGGAAAAGTATTCAGTTTGTTATCAACACTTGAATCCGTGTCCCCATTACTGGCATCCCTTGTCTTTACGTTCATATTTGAGTGGAGTTTAGACTTCTTTCCCGGTCTTACGTATGAAGTAAGCGCTGCCCTAATGATTGTGCCGTTGATTGCTATGGTTTGGATTGATGTGACCATTGACTCCAAAGTATTAGAAACATAAATTCATAAATATATTTATTTCATAAGTTAACTTTAGCATAACATTTATATGATATTGTATTCAGTGATTAAGCAGCTCATTTATTTTTGTAGATTATTATTTTGTGTATAATTAGATCATTAATACATAAATCTTGAAGAATAATATTTTCATCAAGTTATATAAATAATACATAAGTAAGTTTCTAAATACATATAACAGTAAATCTGTATGAATTAAAGCAAATCAATTGATGATTTATATGCCTCTGTCTCATAGCAACTTTACAGTAGATCCGGTCATAGAAGTAGTGATCATAAGATGTTATATAATTGATAACTAATTGACATGAAATGCATAATCTATATTATAATTATCATAAGTTTTTAAGTAAAACATAGCTATAAAATATATAACATAAGTGGCACAACAATATATAATATTAAGTGAAAGTGTATTTTATCTTGAATTTGTTGGATACAAAGGGTTTGGAATACAGATGTGACTTATGTGTTAAGACAAATGTAAACTATAATACTTGAAAATTTTGTTTTTATGAGTCAACTTAGAAATATTATGTATGAATTATAACTTCTAATTTAGAAATATAATTTCTGATAAATTCAATACAAAAATTTTTTATTTGATAAAATGATGCAATCTAATATTAAGTGCCCTAAGAATAAGATATACTTTCGGTTGCTAATAGCCTGATGCTACATTATTAATAGAAATATAATTTCTGATAAATTCAATACAAAAATTTTTTATTTGATAAAATGATGCAATCTAATATTAAGTGCCCTAAGAATAAGATATACTTTCGGTTGCTAATAGCCTGATGCTACATTATTAATAGGTAGTGTGATATTGAACATTTCAAACATTTTTCAGTGGTGTGACATAACCATACGTTTTCAACAAATACTGTACAGTAATAGTTAGATTGCTAATCAAAGTATAAAAGGAGCAAAGTTTTCAATTAGAATACAGTATTAATAACTTATTGTAAGTATCCTTTTATCTTAGTTTATATTTTAGAGTTATTTTACTTCAGATTTTGCTGTAATAATTAATTAATTACAATATATTAATTAAAACCCTTAAACTTTATGATAATTTGTGTGTTAACTTATAATAACTTAGATTATAATTATTAAAGATTAATGAAATTTAAAGTATTGAATTTATAAATTACTGCATTTTGTGTTCTTACTATTATATACAATATTTTTTATAAAATTAAGTGCTAAGTGCAATTAATTTGCATTTATAATACCAACGTTAATAAGTCTTATCATGGTCAATTTTAGTTATGGTTACTGCTTAACCAATTTATGCAAAACAATATATTTCATTTTAATACCTGTGCGTCAATATGTCCAGAGATAAGGCAAAAGTTTCTGTTGTTTTAAATGACTATAAAATTTGCAAATATATTCCCAAACCATTGAAGTGCAAAATAAAACTGTTTATTATTTTTGCTGATTTTGATCACAACGACAAAGAGTTTGATAACAATATTATATTCATTACCAAAGAAGACAAAGCGTATGCATTGGGTGCCAATAGTTGTGGTTTTCTGGGATTAGGACATACCTGTGCCGTCAAAGAGCCCCAATTTATCGAAGAATTGTCTTTTAAAGGTATTTGTGATTTCAATGAAGGCTACGATTTCGTGTTCGCTCAGACGGCAGAGGGAGGGCTACTGGGATGGGGTCATAACAATAAGGGTCAGTTAGGCCGGGGTGATACAAATTATGGAGTTTTCCTTAAGCCCTTGGAAATAGATTTTGGTGAACACGAAGAGATCGTACAAATAAGTTGTGGCAAAAACCACGCACTGGCCCTCACATCAAGTGGAAAGGTGTACGGATGGGGTGACAACAGCTCAGGTCAGATAGGTGTCGGCAAATTCACTGATCATATCTCTACACCAATAAAAGTGGGATCAAAATCTGGCATTAAGAATAAAATCAGATATGTATTCGCTGGCTATGAGACCTCCTTTGCGATCACCATTGATGGACAGGTATACAGTTGGGGCAGCAATGAGTTCGGTATATTAGGCAATGAGAGCACCACTACCTCTTGTGTCCCCAGACTTATTAATGGCCTCAAAAATGTCGTTAAAGTCTGTAGTAATCGATTGAATACCTATTTCCTGACGACCAATCAATTTGTGCACTTTTGTGGTGCAATCAATACAACGAATTACGAATTCTTTTCAAAGCCTAAGGTTTTTAATATGCCCAAGGTTATTGACATCTATTGCCCAGGGTTTGAAGCCAATCCTCTGGAAGTGTTGGTGGCCAGTAACTTCATTTATCAATACTATAAGAACCAATGGTTTAAAACGAAATTCGGGAACTTCTTTGAATATCTGAAGGGAAAACAGATTACATATAAAGCCATTCATTTAGAAAGCGATGGATTTGTTTCCACTATTGAGTTGTATGTTAAGCCTGAAGATAAGAGCAAATATTCATCGCAAATGTTTACAAGTTTTATGAATTTATGGAACAAAAAGGCTATAAAACAAAAAATATTGGAGAAGAAAACAAAATCGATTTATGCAATTGAAGGCAGATTTGAACATTCATTTGAAATGAAAGGCAAAATAAATTCCGGCGCTTTTGGACATGTCTTTAAAGTGTTGGATAAAACTGATAATAAAATCTATGCCATTAAACAAATTCCAGTTGACAGTAAGTACCGTTTTATAACTTATAATATTATAAGTGTTTATTCAATTGTTTGTGATTGCTTATCTCATAACTGATTTCCTATTTTTATCACTTGTTTCAACAATTTTGAAATATTTTAGAGGAATCGGTCCGTTATCAAGGCTTTCAAGAATTCCAGACTATGACAAAACTCGAGAGTAATTCAATTGTCCGATATAAGAGGGCCTGGATTGAGGACAACCAGTTTGTTTACATTCAAATGCAATTCTGTGACAATAACTTGAAGAATATTCTGCAGATCAGAAAAAATGCATTTAATAGGCATTCATCGGACACTCTCATTGGTTTCACGGAATTCTACTTATTATGCGAAATGTTTATTGAGATAAACAATGGATTACTTTATTTGCATTCATTGGATCCGCCAATAATTCACAGGGATTTGAAGCCCGAGAATATTCTAGTGGTTGAGCACAATAGAAATGGATATTTTGTGAAAATATCTGATTTTGGTTTATCTGTATTTCATTCACCCGACTCTCAGTCTCACTCGAGGGACGCCGGCACTGAGAAATATATGGCACCGGAGGTTAAGTTCAGCAATCAATATGATATGAAATGTGATGTTTTTAGCTTCGGATTGATAGCCTGTGAGATGTTTTGCATTGATTTCTATTCGTAAGTAACTTATAAACAATTTAATAGTAATTGTAAACTACAAATAATAATTGTTATCATTAATTCAGTTCAGAAGACGAGATAAAGAGAAATAAAATCTCAATACCAGACCCACAGTTCCTACAGTTGGTTAATACCTTGTCCTCAATGATCAACCGATTTCGTAAGGATAGGCCTACGAGTGCTCAGATTTTGACACAAATTTCAAACTGGAAGATCAATAAGGATGACTTGGATTTACTAAACGACTTCAACGCTACTATTCATTCACTTGAAAACTTTGAAAACAAATTTTTCCACAAATACTTAATTAAAAAGATTTTACCATAAATTTAAATTTAAAACATAAATAATACTAATTTTTCTCTTAATTTTGATTTTTGTATGTAAAAATTAATTTTACTTCATGTATAACTTAAGAGCATTTATTTCTCTATTTCTTTTTTAATTAATGATACAAATAATGATATCAATTATAAGATGTTTTCGTGTGATTTCCCACTTATGCGGAACCGGAGGGTCTGTTGTTGACTGAGTGCTGTCCGGCAACGGCTATGGGTTTTGCGGGACGTGTTCTCCTCGACGAGAACGACGATCCCGAACCGATTAGTTGGGCCTCTCCCAGACCTCCCGGTGCCTCCAACACACGGGCGCCTCCTATAAGTCCAGCCCTAACAACAGTGCCGGTCAGGTGTGCGTGTTCAAGATCTACCGGTGCGATGGCAACAGCCGGTGCTGCGGCCGCTACGGCGTGAATGGGAACCGGCGGTGGAATCGCTACCTCTCTGATGACCTTCTGGTTCTCACCCCTGGCCACCACACTGTGCACCTCCTCCTGCACGGGCAGTATCTCTTGCGTGATCTTTCGGAAGGGTTGGATAATTTCACGCACTTCTTGGATGACCGGTTTGACCACTTCGTGCAGAACTCTGTCGGGTTCCTCCTCTGAACGGCTTTCCTTGTATTCGCCGGGAGGGCCGGGAATGTGCACCTGATTTATGTTGACGGGACTGGACTGCGATCGGAACTCAATGGTGACGGGCAGTAGGTTTGGCTCAACGATCAACACTTGTGGCTCAATGACATCGGGAGGAACGGGAACGTCGACCACCTCTGCTGTCCTGTGGGTCAGGATTGCTGTCAAACAACACAAATGTCGTTAAAAATTTGATTTTAATCTTAAAAATAGAGTTCATTTGAATTCATACCAGCGATAACTGGTCCCAAACTGTGAGCTCTGGCTCCCAATGCTATACCACCGGTGAGGCCAGTGGTAAGACCTAATTGATATGGAAATACAGATGTAGATAATACCACTAAATAATAAAGCTAATATACCCAGGGTGCCAACTTTCTGCAGCTGTTCCAATGGTGGGGTCACATAAGCGGGTCCTCTGATAAGTGGTTGAAGAGGTGCAGCGATGGCCTCATGTCCTCCACGACTCACTTTAGGATATGTGAGGAAATGTCTGACATTTCCTGATGGTATGGTTTGCGCTAAACCACCGGCTATTCTGTTATGAACGCCTACTACAGGAAGTCTGTGCTGACCATTACAGCCGATTATAGTCACACATAACGCCAATAAAAGCTTTTAAATAAATTGATTGCAATCAATAAAAGTCTTAATTAATTTGAATGATTAAATTGGAAATGTATTTTTACAACAAATGTTTTCACACACTAAATAGATTAGATTTAAATATATGATACAGTACAGTTTATTGACTTATTATTGAGTTGTTCAGTTATATTTAGTGAAGATTGTTAAATATAAATTTAGTTATGTTTTACTTATTGTATATTTAAATATTGTGTAATAATAAATGCTAACGATTTATAATTTATGTAAAAATTTTGAATCAAGATTTTAAAAGATTTTAAAATATTAATATTTAAGATTTTTAAAGTGGAAATTTTAATAAGTTAATAGAAAGTGTTTTAAATATATTCTACTATCAATAATCTTGATCTTTAAAAAAGAAAAGACAGTCTAAACTATAATTTATTTTTATTACACATAATCTCAAATCATTTAATATTAATTACAAACTCGATGAATTGAAACGGATGACAGATATTATAGATTATGGATTTCAGGTCATATTTAATTTAATTCCTTATTCTCAGACATAAGTTGTTATAAATTATAATAATTTCTTTTATTAAAAGACTAATTGAAATAATAACTTAATTTAAGTATTTTATAATAAAATAAATTTGTTATAAATATATAAAATATTCTAATAAAGAAATATATTCTGTAAAACAGACAATTTTAACCACGGTATTAATTTTAAAATTCTTTTAACATTTTTGCAATCAAATTCAAATTAGAAAATACATTATATTTACATGATTAATTAAAATTAATATATAAATTCTATAAATAAATATACAGCATAATGTAATTGAATTTTAAACTTCATAGAATTTAACAAATTTAAAAATATTTAAAAGTTTGTAATATAAATATAAATTTAATTGAATATTTTTACCTTTAAATGCATGATTAAATACAAATACAAGTATGTAAATCACTAATCGATGAAAATAGTCACAAAATATATGAATATAACTCAATACGGGAGCACTAATTGGAAAAGACTTCAAATATAAGAACTTCACTCTATTTTATACATTAATTATAGGAAAGGGCTGAAGAGGTGTCCGACAAAACGCCNTGTAAATCACTAATCGATGAAAATAGTCACAAAATATATGAATATAACTCAATACGGGAGCACTAATTGGAAAAGACTTCAAATATAAGAACTTCACTCTATTTTATACATTAATTATAGGAAAGGGCTGAAGAGGTGTCCGACAAAACGCCACCAAATAATTAACGGACGAATCAAATGTCAGAAAACATTATCGAAAGTAATTTTGAAGTGAGACTTAAGATTCACTTTTTTGGTGTAAAAGTAGTCTGATTTGGGCCACAAGTGAAGGTGCATAATATCGTTGAGGCAATGGTGACACCAATTTGTACACGTTTTTTGGGCAGTTATACCTCCATATTATCCAGTATATCATGAACTGATTTTTT